GAAGTGGTTGCCGATGCAAACCGAGATGTATTTTGTTTTCTTGCAAGTTTTCCCATCGATCAGATCAACCAGCCATTTTTTAAACTTATTTTTAACAGCAGAACTTACACCTACTATATAGTATGCTTAAATTTTGTTATAACTTAAAGTTACATTAAACTGTGTTACCTGGTGCAACCAGTTAAATTTTAGTAACTCATAAACTTGAACGTAGTGGCAGTTACATTCAAACTACATTCAAACCTCTGTTCAGCTGGTGCAACTGGCTCCAGATTAATGCATTACTAAATCAAAACAGGTTGCACCACACAATAGTTTTATTGTTGAGTTTATAGTTATCAAATATTTCACTTCCCTTAAGCAGGTGTAAGTTTTGGGGAAACCATCAGAAAACACGTAGAAAGCACAAATAGTCCAAAAACACCACTTTTTTTGGTTAACTAAGCAAAAAAATAAAAATAAAAAAAAAATAAAAATCTGAGCGCTATACGCTATGATTTCACTTACAACTCTAATCATCACCCTGGATTTAACTCTGAACATGAAGGTAACATCCACAGCTCCAGCTCAGTGAGCTGCCTAAACGTCTAAACAGAGGCTGCTGTTATACTGGTTAGCCAGACACCATCACTTAACAAGTGCATTTGGTTGTCTCAGAAATTTTAACAAATAAACAGACAGTGGCTATAGATAATTAGTTTTAATCAGTTTAACTGTGAAGTACATATTGCTCTCTTCTATACTGGTTGTTTTGTTCCAGTCAGAGTAAGCTGCGCTGGCATTTCCATGGCAGCGGGTTTATAGATTGGTTTTAATCATGTTACCGTCATGTGAATTCCATCCTAAACCTTACGTTGACAGTTAGTTTAAAACTACCGGCACAAAGAATTTCGGCTGCACCACAGACACTTACGGTAATCAACTAGTAGCACGTAAAGTGATCTTAGATCAAAATATTGTCACACAGAATGATGTTTTCACTCTCTGCAGCCAATCAGTAACGCTACCTGACACCGACTCAGGTGGTTGCTGAGGTGTTGCTAGGCGGTTGCTATGGTATCACAGGTGACTGCTAGAGTGTTGCTATGTGGTTGTTGTGGTATCCCAGATGGTTGCTAAGGTGCTGCCAGGCAGTTACTATGGTAATCCAGGTGGTTGATAAGGTGTTGCTAGGCAGTTAACATGGTGTATGGGCTGTTTATTAAGTTGTTGCTAGGGTATTGCTATGTGTTGTTTGAAAATGAATAGGAGTCGATGAAAGAAACAGGTGATGAAGCAAATGACATATAGAGCAGTGTGGATCAATATGGTTGTGGATTAGACTTTTGGGACCTGCTCTGAGTGAATACATGCGGTTTGGTGGCTGTTGGGTAAAGAAATAATAGGGCTTCTGTGTGGTCAAAGATGAATAGGAGTCTATGTGAGGAACGAGGGATGAAAAAAATGACACAGAGGAGTGTGGGTCAGCAGCAGCTGTGACTAGCTATCACAAACATTAGCAAGCAAGACAAAATACTGACCTGTTAGTCTGGTGAAACAGCAAAAATAATTTAATGTTACTCAGCTGTTAAGCGTTAATAGTGAAACCTCCTCATATCATGCCTTTCAACCTTCAGTGAAACTCAAGTCAACTTCTTTTCCTCCGGCTGCTCGTTCGAATTTCCCCGTTCCACCTTAAATGTTTAAGGTGGAACGGGAAAAGTCGAACAAAAAGCTGGTGAATGTCCTGAGAAAATGTCCTCAGAAAAATTACCAGCATTAAAATAATAATTAGGATATTCTGAGAGCCTAAATCAGTTTATCAGGGGTGAGCAGTAATATTAAGATGAGTCTGTACTGGATTAGCCGGAGTGCAGGTACGTTTGTAGATCTTTTCAAATAAAGCTAAAAGGAAAGCTCTATCGTGTTTCAGTGAGCATCAGATGAAGAACAGAGAACTGCAGGGAAACCTCCTGATTTTGTTCTGACTTCTTTTCATCTGCCCTCGGTCTGTAAATGGAAACGTACGCTGCCAAAACCCGCTTAATTAAGGAGGCTGCCAGTCTAATGACGTGAATTCAGTGCGCAGTAGCTTTAGCTCACATGTAGCATTATTCATATTTCAACTCTTTAACGACCTCGTAATTCGGAGGATCCAGTGGTATTCAAGAGAAGAATGTTCACAGGACAAAACGTATCGGGTTCTGAACATTTTTATTTAACACAGGGTGCGATAGAGGCCCACGTTCACACTACTCTTGCCAGTTCCATAACTGAGCCGTAAGTATCGAAAGTGGCACAGATTAGGCCCAAATGTGCCTGCTATCTGGGAAGTGGTTGCTAAGTGGTGTTGAAAATGAATGGGAGTCCACGAGAGGAACGAGGGATGAAAAAATGACACAGTGAGAGTCAGTATGGCTATGTATTATAGCTTGGGGACCTGCCCTGAGTACATGAAATTTGGTGGCTGTCAGTTAAAGAAATAATACAGTTTCTGGGGTGTGGAATTTAATAGGACTCTATGGGGTAAATGACAGGTTAAAACAATCAGATGAGTGCGGGTCAGAACAACACTGAATTTGTGCTGTCCTGCCTGCCCTGAGACAGCATATGGGAAACGGTGTCTTTCGGTCGAGCAGAATAGAGTATAGTAAATTGTCGTTCAATTTTTCACCCCATTCATTTCTAAGAGTAAAAAAGATAATCATTTTAGAGTACGAAAACCGTACGTAAGATCAAAAAGCTGTATACAAGCACACCATTACCGATCAGACCGAACATTCTGGAGTTGGAACAGTGTCCATATCTCGAAAACTGCGCAGCATGTTAGCATACAAAATCCGGCAGAATAATAATAATAATAATAATAATAATAATAAGAAGAAGAAGAAGAAGAAGAAGAAGAAGGAAATAATCGGACAACAATAGTGTTACAAAGTGATGTCCTCAAAGCGTCAATTTCTTGTATGCGTGTTCATTCTGTTCTGCTGCTGCTTGAATTTTTTTCCATGTTTAAACTGGGATACTCAGGCACAGTATTTTAAAGGCACTTTATCAATGAACGGTCGCTAACGTTAGAGAAGCTGAGGTTATCGTAATCGCTATTTGAATTCGCTGAACGACTGAAACAAAATGTTAACCGACGCAAACCGAGGTGTATTTCGTTGTCTTGCAAGTTTTCCTATCGATCAAATCGACCAGCCATTGTAACGGATTTTTAAACTATTTAGATTTTTGAACTACGGCTTACACCTACTATAAGGTATGTGTACATTTAGTTATAACCTAAAGCTACGTTAAACTCACTTGTTACTTGATGCAACCCATTCTAGTGGTTCATAAACTCCTCAATGTAGTGGCAATTTACGTTCAAACTTCTGGTGAAACTGGCTGCAGGTCCTTTCCCGCCTCAGAATTGTGTATTAGCAGGCGGCGTCCAGATACAGCCAGGAACTGTATCACTTTTCACCCTAGTGACTTGAACAGGCATGCACATCTTGGTTTCCTTATATATGATTTAAGCTATGTTTTATTTTAAAATGGAAAAAAGATGAAGTGGTCAGGTTTCCCTTTACAATAAAAGAAAGAGAAAAGAAAGATAGTATTTGTGACTTAATACAAATTATCATTACCGCAGCCTACCACACTAATTAAAAGGGTAGCTGCCTAGGACTGCTAAGCTCCAAACATCAAGGAAAAATCTTGAGCAAAATGGGTCAAGCAGGGATACATGTTCGCATTTGGAGAAAAAATGCTATTGCGGGTCATTGTAGAAATGCTGTAAAACATTGATGGTTTGAGACAGACAGCAACATGCAGTCACGTAAAGGTTCCAATGGTGATAACGTCAATTGAAAATGGATGACAATCAAACAAGACCTTTTTTATCCTCTTATTATTAACACATTTTAAAAAAGACCACCTGCACTCAGAAAATGTTTTTTTTTAATGGTTAACTCCTCTTGGATAGCTTATTATGATTATATAGATTGGTATTTTTATAAAATGTATGTTACCATTACTATTAGGTGCTACTTTTAGAGCACCTAAATGTCCTTATATTTTGCAACATTTACAATGGTAAGGGAGTATCTTTTCTGAATAATAATAATAATAATAATAATAGTAATAATAATAATAATAATAATAATAATAATAATAACAACAACAGCAGCAACACTAATAATGGAGTAAGCTCTAAATAAAAAAATAATTAATAAATAAATCGTACCAATTATTATTTTTTATTTTTAGTATCCAAGCATCAGAACGACTCGTTGTTGTTATAATTATTATTTTTTTAATCTGTTTGGACTCAAAATATGCTCCCTAGGCTGTGTGTGCAACGTCCTGTTTGACGAGCTGAGTTGTGTGAGAGGGTGGAGAAAGCCGTGAAAGAACGAACTAAACCAGTAGATCCCAACAGTCATTGCTTCATTAACCCAAAGTGAGACCAGCCAGTATTCCACCAGCTATTTCGCAGGTCAGGTCGGTTATATAAAACGTACAATTCATGAAAAGTGCTCCCTCCAGCGAGCTACACGTAGCAGTACACCGCCACCAACCACCCAGGGCCCTGGGGTCCTGCTGGACTGAACACCATACCATTCCATGTCTATAATCGGGGGAGCACTGAATTAGTTGACACCTACCGGTGTATACTCAAGACGCTGTTTTTTCATTAAAAAATAGATTTTGGCACGTGACAAGTAGAGAGGAAATCTGACGGTACATGTCAGTTTTGAGTAGCTAATTTCAAATTAATGGAAGACGCGCTCACAACAGCGACTTGACTGACGTACACGTTGTTTCTATCAGCGGACCTCCAAGAGCATGCTGCAGAAGGTGTGGTGCCCAGAAAAAAGTCGTGTACTAGAATCAGATTTGATGTTCCACTGTAATGCTAATAATCACTAGGAAAAAAAAGCTCAATAATGTAATTATTTCTCAAAACCTGGGTTTAAGTAGGAACTGATGATGGAGAAGGAGATGGAGAAACATACAAAAGAAATGACATAAAAATCTACAATATTTAAACCTTTATTTAGACATGATACAACAGGAAAAACATCTTCAGTCACCGTACAGCCCATCATTAATAGAACTGCCAGAGTCTGTTAAAGGCTGTGTCGCGGAAATAGACGTCTGAAATGATCGTAAGTGATTTTTGTGCACTTTAATACGCAAACACTCAGAATGCACAAAATAGCTTGGCAATACCGGGAGAAGCCGTCTTGTTTTAAATATAAGATTTTTTTTCCTCTTATATCTCATAGCCAGCGCTGTCAACTGTCTGTCACATTTTAATTCGTTTGTCCTCAGTGAGCAAATTGTAAAAGGGAGGTTTTCCGTCTTGGGTATTGCCATTCAATATGTGCAATGGCGGAACAACTTCAGTTTTAAGGTTAGGGCTCGGAAAACTGTTTCTGCTGTATTGATTTATAGCTTTGTATTTCCTCTACTAACGTACTGTTGCTGCCTTAAACAGGCTCATACACTGAGAAATATAAAACCACCCTCAATTTCTCGCTGGTTCACAGTTTGCATATTTCAGGACATGCTCAGAAGGACTTTCCACATAAGAGACATAGCAAAGAAGGAGGAAAATGTTTAAAAAATATAAAATTAAAATGGTGCATTCCTTGATTTTGGAGCACAATTTTCAACATGATTTCATCCTTCTTAAATTATCGTTTTAACACAGCACCCTTGTGCAGTATGCAGAGAAATTTTTTGACACCTGCATGGCTGGCACTACTATATAATTTCAGGTATATCACAGGACTGTTTATTTTGTAGAAAAAAAAGATAGCTGTGCTTTCCCCCCAAAAAAACAGTCAGGGTGATCCATGAGAGAACAACATAATCAAGCTCAGCAAATCCTAAACAAGTAACGGATGTTGACGGCCACTGCACTTCAAGAAAATTTTTAGTCTGGTTAAACAGTCCACCTTAGTCAAAGCTCCACCTTACAACTTTGATCACTTTCTGTGTTATTGCAAGCTGATTGGGTATAGGGTACTGCTCGAAAACAAACTTTCACACAGAACAAAGTGGATATATTCAAAATAACACATCCAACAATGCACCAATGTCCACAAAATTTGTATGTTTAACTACACATCCTTCCCACGAAGAACTTAATCACAAGGATGAAGATATTACAGTACCACTGTTTAATAGAGGACAGTAAAAAATTCTAGCACTGGCAATATTAAAAAAACAAAAAAAGAATACAACAGACATGAAGGATTTTTGGAAGCCAGAAGGGCAACTGTCACACAAAGAATAGGAAAAATGATACCAAAGGATGTAAAATGTGCCCCTGATGAAAATTCAAAGCAAAGAATGGCAAATTAACCAGAAGTTGCTGATAGACCACTGCTTGACCAGGCTTCTGAAAACAATGGGGGAACTTTGCACTAACTGTACTAGCAGATGAAACTCACTGCACAATCTTTTTTCTTTTTGAGACAAACATAAATTTCTCTACATGTTTACAAACGTAATGGGAGATTTATGGAGTTGCAGACGAGTGACGAATTCTAGTATGTATGAATACATATGACTCCATATTAAAGCCATTAAAACCAAAAGCAGGGGTACTGCCAAACTCTGCTAGACAGAAGCCCAGCAGGACAAGAGCTGGACAGCCGTGCTCCATTCTATCCACTAAAATATCATTTATTAACTACAAAATCAAATAAATAATTCTGGGCTTGGCCTGTGCTTCCAAACTTTCAGGAGTAAAAGCACCTGGTATGAAGAGATTGCTTTGCTTGCATGACATATAGTCTGTAGAATGGTCATTTATATACATGATTTTTTTCTTTTTTTCTTACAACTAGTACACCTTTCCAAGAGTTTAGAATGTGCATCAACACTCCTCCATGTACACTTATAGTTGGCAAGCACTTTGTTCGTGGATTGTGCACACGAGGAAGTGCAAGATTGTGCCATCTCATGCATGTATTCCTCAAATGCATAGACTGTGACAGATGCTGGTTTTAACTCCTGATTACAGAATAATTACTCTTATCAAAAATTAACACCAGATACTCCAAATGCTTAATAATCCATAAGTGAATCTGGCTATGGGGTTTTGGCAAATGTGAAAAATGCACAGACATCAATATAGATAGAATGTAGAAAATAACCTTTCACAGATCCATCATGAATGTCCTTCATAAGGCTTGTTCCTACATCAGGTTAAACACAGTCAGTAGTATACCACCAGCAGAGTAGATATCTTTGGAAAGAAAGAAGCTGGTCACCCCTGTTGGTCCGTGACCGATCGACAAACACACTGTATGTCTCTGGGGTCAAGTTATTTCTAGTTCTTTTTTAAGAATCCAAGCAATGGACCACATGAGAGACATATGGAGACACCTGGAACTGTGAAGCTAAACAGATCTGTAGATCACAGTCAGTTCTTACAGAATAAACTGCAAAAAACCAAAACAACCCATTCAAAAATTTCTACAAAATTCTCACTGTGCCTTTTTGCTAGGGCTGGGCAATATGACAACATGTATCATTCTCACAATAAATTGTCACAAAAGAGTACGTTATGATTTTCTGACCATACTGTGGATATCGTGAACACTGACGAACTGCATCGTTCATTATAACCAGAGCAAAATTAGCCCCATTTAACCGGATTTAGTGCAACACAAGTACGCCAAATATGGGATAAAAATCATATCAAATGTGTTCACAGTTTTTGATAGGATTTTTTTTAATGTAACACTACTGGTTCTTTTTTCTCTGTTCCAACTGACCAGATGCCTTAAAAAATAAATATCGTGACATATCATGTATCATACAAAGTATCACGCTATTTGATTTTTGTCATAGTGCCCAGCTCTACTTTTTACCCTCCGCTGGATATAAGCAAAAATAAATCCAACACAGTAAAATCATCCCACATACATTTTGTGCATAAACAAGGCCAGACTACAAGATCCTGAATTTTCCATGCCGCATTCCAATGCACTCATTCCATGAGTACAGCACATACAGTGCATAAGCCCCAGAATGGCATGTAAGATAAAGAGCCTGCAAATGGGCATTGTCTGCGCTTAATTTCGTAGCCAATAGGGATGTTATATGAAAGTTTATCTAATGAAATTTCATGCTGTGGTCAATACAGCTATGCATTTGGTCAATTAATTTGAACTGCTTTTGTGTAGCATGTAAAAATAAACAAAACACATGAACACTACTGTCAATACAGGAGCTCTAAAATTGGAAGATAACATCGAAAACTGAAGCCTATCTTAAGATATGCTTCATAACCTGTATGAATGCTTCCCTGTGTAAAGTCTTAACCAGAAATTGCATGTTTTTTTGCTTAATTTTCCAACAGCTTAAAATCTTTTTAGGGCTATTCCAGCATAGGCAACAAAGCAGTAAGGGGGGAAAAAAGGAGGACAGAATAAAGGATGGTATGAGCTGGAGATTTAACTAGGAGACACAGTGAAGCCCCAAAGTCCAAGAAGCTGGTAAACCCTGGTGCAAACCGGATTTAAGTGGGTTGAGTTCAGTCCACATTAGGTCAGCTGATGGGGAGCCTCCAGCATCTCCATAAGGAAGGTGTCGATTGGAGTGTCACCAATCAGCTTGAAAAAGAACAGGTGCTCCAAGCACTTTAAGCCAATGGATCGCAGGGCTGGCAACCGGAGGAGAAGCTTGGCAAACCTAGTGGCAAAGTAATAGAAACACAGACTGTACTCACAGTGCATAATATAAAAACACGAATCATTAGCAATGCAGCAATATTAAATATTTCTGTTAATATTAATATCCAGTATGAACATATCAATATCAAACATACACGTTTCAGACAGATTTGGATATGGCTCTTTTGAACCCTTAAATGCAATTCCTGTAGGGATGGTGATGCTGAAGCATACAGTTCTGTCAATTAATACATATCTAATATTTCAAATGAGGAAAAAATTACACCACCCGAAAAAGAATTACCATATTCTACTATTAGAACACATTCTATATTTTTTGCCTTTTGCTGTGTATCGACTGATACTGAGTTTGACCAATATTTGTATTTTTGGAAAAATAGAGCCGCACAGTGCTTGCTTCCTGTACTGTACAGTTGGTCAAACCAACCAATTTAGGTAAGATATGCTAAGCTGGCAATTTCTTCAATATACTACAGTAAAACCACTTTATTATGCAAAAAGTAACACTAAACTGATTTTTTTACCTACTTCTTTTAAAATAATATTTTTATATTCTAATTGGTCAGAGAGATGTTTGCTACTAGTTACTTTAAAATGCTTCTATGAAAGTAGCCTACAGCTTTTGCTTGGCCTGAAAGGAGTTGTTAATGATGAGTGTGTAGCTGCACCTTCTCATTTCACTTGCAACTAGTTTAGGTGTTTTGACTAAAGACAGCTAGCCTAACCACTTTCTAAAAAACATAAAATAGGTTAGGAAATGTGAGACAAAAAATGAGTGCAAATTATGTGAATTCTGTACCTGCCCTGCTGGTCAGGGTATCTTTGCTTGCAATAAGCCTCCAGAGATGCATAGACTTTTTCTCTGAGCAATTCCACCTCACTCGGGCTGGACAGCCCCTTTGCATCTGTGAAATACACACAGACAAAACTGAATGACTGCACCTTACTTCAGCCAAACAAATACATGCATGTTTTCAATCACATATTGTGTAAATATAAAGTAAATGTAAACATCCTACTTTTGCAAGCTTGAAATGCTCATGTTTGGGCTCAGTCTACCTTAAGTAGAATTAAATCCAGTGTGGGGAGCTGAAAGTACACCACTGTTGGTTTGGCACTAAAACACTGGAAATCCCAAGGACTTTTTTTTAATTAACTGAACTGCGTAATGCCAAATTATGGGTAGTGTGGTACAAGATCATCACATAGCAGATCTGACTGGTTCAGCTACGTTCGAACCCATGGTGAAATACTCCCATTGCTCATGTAATTAACCTTTATTTAAATTATTTTTTCTTCCTAAACATTTTTATTATACTGTATAGATTTTTTTGTGTTGCTGTTTTATATAAGGAATAAACCACTCCAGTCTGTTACAGGGATTTCAATTCGGTTAGCAAGTTTTAGTTCTTCCTAGAATGGTCTGTGTATACTTGAAACACTGTCTCATAAGCCTCAGAACCTTCATAGCTCTTTGTAAACGTTACAGTGCTCTATGGCAATGATTCTCAGTTCTAGGTCTAACTGTAAAAAGGTATATATGATATTTCTACACATAGTAAGCATCATGATAACAGCATATACATTTAATGATTATAATATTGTACATAATATTAAATGTCCATGATTTTTGTGCCCTAAAATGCAGCTATGATATGTAGTTGACAGCACAAAATAACCAATATTATTGTACAACAATATGTACTACAGTAAGTGTTCACCACCTGGCTAGAACAAGAAAAATATTATGATTTTTAAAGAGTACAAAAACAGTACAATTAATAAACATATTCAGCTTTGAATTCACAAATGAATACATAAAAAGGTTTGAATTGTAGTACCTGGGTTGAAAAGGATGATGGCTCTCAGACAGCCCAACTCAGTCTTGTCCATCTGCATATCTCTCATTTTACTCACTAGTTCAGTTAGCACCCTGTGTCACAGTACAAAATGAGACAGAGGGAAGGAACAAGAAAGAAAAAGCAAGAGTGCGGAAAATGAGGGGAAAGGAAGGAGTGACATCTGTTAAAGTTTAGGGCTATATTTAACTTTGCCTTCAGTTTGGCACCACAGCAAAGATCTGAACAGGGCACACAGTTCTGCTGCTAATTAGCATACTTCAGCAAATGAATAACATGCAGTACTGAAGTCTCCAACTTTATGAACAGCATTTGAATAGGCAGGTTATATAGACAACAAAACCAAAAAAAAAAAGTAAATAAATAAAAAACAAAAACAAAAAAAAACAAAAAACCAAAATGAGATCTTAACAACACATCTTGAACAATTAGATTTAGCTAACAAATTAATGGCAACATGAGGGCTGCAAGACAGACATTAGCCCGCTGGCACAGAGAACCTGTTATTGATATAGACAGACAGGCCGACTTTAAAGCCCCTAACCAAAAAACTGTACACTCAAGTATCAAATAAACAAGATTTCAAGATGTTGTGTGTTTGCTTTTGCTGTTTTTTGCAATATTTATGCCATGTGGTGTAGCATCATTACCTGTCAAATATGGCCCCAACCTCTGCATTGTGCGCACTCTCCCTGTGTATTCAATCACAATGTGTTATTACAATGTCAATACACAGATTATTACATTGTTAATATTTCCCCCATTTAAGAGTTATGACTCCATGTGCACTAACAAAGGGGCCCATTCAAGGAGTAACAAGTTACAGGCTATTGTTGAGAGGGAGACAGCCTGTTCATATTGGCTTGTAGCATTAGCTATGCAAAGCAGCAATAAAACTTAAAGACGATAAAATGAAGACCTAAGAGATATGCCACTAAAAGTTTAAAATTCTGAACATGAACAAGAAAATGAAGAAATTATTTTTTAATTTTATTTATACAGCATGAAAGCAATGTTAAGGGCTACTGATGTTCCCACTACTGAGAACAGTGTAAGACCAATTACATGCACTACAGGTTAGTCATGTCCAATCAGAACAAGTACATAAAAGGTCATTTGCTAGAATAAGAATAAAGGTTATTAACTGTATGAGTGTTGAGCAGAAACGCAAGCATATAGTAATGGTGCAAGTAATAAAACAGGAATACAATGAAGCACCATGAAAATCAGATCAGCTACAGACAATACAAGACTATTTCAATGTTATAAATCCATTGTGTGAGCAGGGAAAAATAAAGATTAACCCCTTTTTGTGCACCAAAAAAGAGAGAATGAAACAAATTGGTATAAAATAGAGACATTAAGCTGATTGAACATTAGGGCTGGGCGATAGGGCGATGAAATCTGATAATCATTATTTACCAGTAGCTCGATGTCTGTGCTTGAGACGATAACTGCACATTTGGAAAACAGAACTGACAGCTTAATTGTTAAACCGCTTGCCAAATAATTTTAAATTTTTTTAATAAAATGTTTAGACATATGTAATGATATTGTATATTATTGTTACTGACCAAGGAGTATTAAAATGATCCATTGTTATTTCTTTTACATATGAATCACATGGACCTGGCTTTGTAACTTACTCTCTTGCTCATGTTTAACAAGCTAAAAATTCTCCATTTGCTTCTGCAAGTTCCTTTTGTGTACATCATTGAAAAAGGTAAAAGCCACAAACGCACATCAGATCAATGATGTGTATCGTGTGTGTGTGTTGGCAGTCACAAATTTTAAGATGTGAAGTGAAATAGTTTATTTTCTACAGAAGAAAGCTCAAATAAGAAAACAAAGCAGAATAAACTACAGGGAGGTGTGTCAAATGGGTGGCTACAGATAAACAATATTCCTAACAAGACATTGCAATAATTGTTTTTAGATATCGCCCAGGCCTACTGAACATCAAAGCCCACTGAAGCAGGGGGATTTTAAAATGTGAATCTGAAACAACAGCCTGCAACCAGTTATTCCAAAATGTATTCTAATCCTAAGCATAAAAAGCTGGAGTCTAAAATGTGCTCAATTTTAGCCTTTTAACAATGTAACTGCTGTGTAATTAGCCACTGCTGAGGAGTGACGAAGGGAGAGTGCGTCAGCAAAAGGGGCTGGGTACTTCCCACAAGCAGAGGAGACAGTCTTTGACTTCATACATGTGTATGTAGGCCAGTGCTGCCCTTATCAGTGTGTGTGTGTGTGCGTGTGTGTGTGTGTGTGTAAGAAATGAGTGGAGAAACATGATACATTTAACATCCTGAGTAAAAATGCTAAGCAAGCCTAGTTGACCTTGATTTTGGATTAAATGGCAAAAGGGCTCATTGTTGGGGTACAGACAGGTGCAGCAGCTCCAGTTACAAAGACTGCTCATCTCGCTTGTGTTTCAATATGAACAGTGATTTAAAGTAAAAGGATTGAAAATTGTACTCAAAAGCACACACTCAATGATGTGATACGTAAGGAAAAACAGAAGAGCAAGTGTTCCTCACTCCATCCGCAAATACATTTGGGTGGCACTTTGTTGGCAACGTTCAGGTCCACTTTTTGGTGCAGCGCCCTCAATCACCATCATCAACACAATTCAGGGAACAGACTGGTTTTTCCTTTAATTTTTCACCTGCCTCTACTGTATTTGTATAGCCAAAAGCATACATAGGCCTGACTATCACACCTATATGAGCTTGTTGAACATCCCTTTCTAAAACCATTGGCATTAACATGGAGTTGGCATCTCTTGCGTCTACAAAAGCCTCTGCCCTTCTGGGAAATATTTCCACAAGATTCTGAAGTGTCCCTGTGGGAATTTGTGCCAATTCAGTCAAAAGAGCATTTATGATGTCAAGCACTTATGTAGGAGGAGAAGGCCTGGCTTGCAAGTGCATTCCATGTTTGATGTTTAATGTGGCTGAGGTCAGAACTCTGTGCAGGTCACTGGTGTTCCTCCACACCAAACTTGACAAAACTATGCATTGCACACAGGGGCACAGTCATGCTGGAAGAGGAAAGGAAACCTTCCCAAACTGTTGCCACAATGTTGGAAGCATACAATTCTCTAAAACACCTTTGTAGAGTCAGTTTGGAACTCTGTAGTGAGCGGCGACAGAAGATTGGCAATTTTTAAACGCTACGCACTTTAGCACTTGGTTTGCGTGGTCTACTTCTTAGTGGCTGAGCTATTGTTGCTCCTAGACACTTCTATTTCACACTAATTGCATTTGTAGTTGAAGGGGCAGATTTAGCAGGGCAGAAACTTTATCAACTGACTTGTGGCAAACGTGGCACCCTTTTACACACATTTAAAGTTTATACACCTGTTAGCGATGGGTGTGGCTGAAACATCACATATTTGGTGATGTCAAGTCTCAATTTAAACAGTGTTGATAAATAAAGGTGACAATTTAACAAGATACACTTAGAATCAACACTGTCATCATTTATATGAATGAAATAAAGAGTAATGAAATTTTCTAAGGTGGAAAATGCAAGCACAGCCCTACACACATCACTTCAAACAGGTCAAATTAAATTAGGTGCACCCAATCAAGCGCTAATGATTAGAACACCATTAGAGAATATCTTTGACAGTCTGGTCTAGTTTGTAATTTGTTACTGGAGTGTGTGTTATCATGCTTTCATCACAAAGAGCTCTCTGAAGAAAGAGTCTGGGAAGGGTTTTAAGATGTACAAAATATTGGAAATGGATATGTCCACATATGCCCAAAAAAAAAAAAATACTTTTTCACATGTGACAATTATGCAAAAATAGAAGAAATCAGGAGAGGACAGTTTTTCACCTGTGTGTGTATATATGTACACACCTACATACCCTTTATATGGCTGTAAAAGTGTCCACTCCTGATGTAACTATAGTAAGACAAAAAACAACCAGAGTAAACAAAAAATAGTTTTTAAATGATTATTTCATTTATTGCAGGGAAAAAAGTTATCCAATAAGAACTTGCCTTGTGTGAAGAAGTAACTGGCCCCTTAGAGACATAATCAACCAATTAACCAAAAATTTAGTTGCATTAAACTATACATATACCATACCAGACATGACAATGTTTAAATATAACATTCAGCAATGTGAAATAGGCTAAAATGTCTTAACAAGGAGCACACTATGCCACAATCAAAAGAAATTCCCAAAGAGAGGCTCTGGGACTCCAGCATCCACAGTAAGACCCACTATATCCAAAAGGAGAAAACCTGGAACAGTAGTCAATCTTCCCAAAAGTGGCCAGCCTACCAAAATTTCTCCAAGAGCACAGCAATAGCTCATCCACAACCAAGACGAACATCTAAGAAACTGCAGGCCTCACTCGCCTCTGATGAGGTCAGCATTAATGATTCCACCATTAGAAAGAGTTGCAAGGCGAAAACCACTACAAACAAAGAGTAACAAAGGCTTATCTGATATTTGCCAAAACCACTTTGTCAATCTTTTGGAATTACTTTCTAGGGACTCATGAGTGATGATGAAATTAGAACTTTTTTGAAAGCATTCCATACTAAGAACATCAACATGGTGGTCGTAGTGTGGTGGTGGTGGGCAGGGGTGCTTTACTACTTCAGGGCCTGAGTGCAATAACTGACAGAACCATAAACTCTGTTTTCTATCAGAAAAATATTGCAGGAGATGTCTGGTCATCAGTATGTGATCTGAAGGTGTAGTGCAACAGAGTTACGCAGCAAGACAACCCAAAGCACAAGAAACCATTTAGTGTGACCATTCAGTTTTTAGGGTAACAATATCATTAACATATTTGGGAAGCCCTTATGTTGGCCTAGTTTTATTAGAAGGACAACTGGTTGGTTTTAAAACTTATTGGTTTTTAATATTGGAAGTGTGTGAGTTAAACTGACAGTAAGGTCCACAAAAGAAGAGACTGGACAAATTAAATACTCCAAGATTTGATTTACTTGTACATAATGGCCGTTTTGACTGGAACCTATTTTTTAAAAGGTAAAAGTTTCCCTGTTGAAAAACGCAAACCAAATTGGGATAAGAAAATTCCATCTGCACTCCAATCAGCATGGCTGAAGGACATGACAAAACCAATCAAAATGATCTCTCACACATTTACCCAAGCTCTGTAATTGCCTTAGAAGCTTGGCAATAAAGTCAAGTTAAATGTGCTTTTAAATGATATTGGGAAAAGGCAGCTAAAAATGAAATATTTCTCCACTGACCAATTGATTTAAAATGTAGTTAGAAGCAGTCTCTTCGAGTGCAGTGTTCATTCCTGCTGTTAATAAGGTTAGCCAGCTAGCTAAATTATCTCTACAAAACAGAGAACTAACAACAGTTCAAGGAGTATGACAAAAATTCCATCCCAATGTTGCAATAAAGTATTACATACCATAAAAGTATTATTGCTTGACCACTCAGCAGGCCCACCTATTAGGACTGAGGTCTCTTACAGTGTCACTGACTTGACTTGCTCACGTTGCTGAGATGCACATGCACAATCATTGCCCAAAACAAGCAGCAGGTGGCGCTGTAATTTTTTTTATTTATTTATTTTTGTGGAAACAATAAGTTTTGCCCCACCACTTTTGGAAGTGTTGTGCCACCCCTGTCGTTCTGTTCGCCCCTTGCCTAATTAATCCTAGCACTATACTAGCACTATAGTGACTT